TCCTCCCCATAGCTGTACAATTCATTTTTTTACTCAAAATTCCTAAAACGTTTTTTCTTCTTAATAAAAAGTAATAAATAAAAAATGTTATAACAATATCATAGTATTAGCCATCATAATTGAAAAGATTTGGCATCATAATTGAAAAAAACATTCAAGTGTAGTGCTAGCCTAAGCTCTTTTTCTCCATGAACTTCTTTCTTTTTTTTTTTGCTTCTCTTCAAGGCGTTTCCTCCTCTCCTCCAATACTTGGATAACTCAACATTGATAATCAAGCTCTTGTTGTCACTCACATTGCCGTCAAAGTGTTTGCTCTTCTCCTTCAATACTTGATAGAATCCTGCTACAACACATGCATTACATTAACCAAACAATAATTTACAAATGGAAATAAAAGACATACTTGGGCTGCCAAAAAATAAAAAGCGTCGTCCTTTTCAGTAAAAAGGGAAAGTCATTGTATTCAGAAAACTTGGACTGTTGAATGTTCAAGTGAAACATCTCAAAGCATTAAAACATAAAAAAAAATGAATTAACTACTGGGTACGTGTGCAAGTGAAACATTTCAAATTTGACACAGAACCCACATCAAATGCAAAACAGGGCATTCATACCAGACACAAAACCCTACTCAAAATTGACATAGAACCCACAATAACCACTTGAAAAAGAAAAGTCATTGTATTCAGAAAACTTGGACTGTTGAATGTTCAAGCATTTAAGATATCAAAAAGGAAAATCAAGCTAACAGAGAAGGGAAAATCAAGTTGAATGTTCAAACCAATCATGCTCACCATCTTTTTAAGTAAATTATTGTCTTTAGAGGTAAAGAATTTCCAAGTGGGCATTTCCTTTTAGGGCCATTGAGTTTTTATTTCCTAAAGTATGCCTTTAAGGTTTTAACTAATTAGTTTGTGGTGGTGATATTGGTATGTGATATTTTGATGGTGTATTGTGGTTGTCACAAACGTGAAGGAGGAGTGGCTTTTTATAGGCATCCAAGAACATGTAACCTTCACCAACCACAAAATTAAGGCATTCAATATAGAAATAAAAGTTGAATATTAAATATTTATAACCCCCACAATAAATAAAATAAAACAGCCAAATAGTAAATAAATAAAATGGTTAAATTTTTAAAACCTTTTTAAAAATCCAACAAATACAACAATAAGTAGAAGTCTGCACATGATAGAAGACTACAAAATACCATCCCTCTTGCATAAATGATCGGTTCACAATTGTATATCATTTTGTACCCTTCTACCTTATGATTTAGTTATGTTTTTAAGTTAAACTTGTGCTTTTAACCTCTTTTGTGTTTGTCATTCAATTCATTGAGCTCTAGGTAACACTTGAGGCATTTGGAGTAAAATGGTGAAAACAAGGTGTAAAAACGGAAGACTGGGTTACAAATTCATTTCGGACTTATCTTTTTCATCCGACTTGGATTGGGCCAAATCACATGTGGTTGGAAAGAAGACATTCTGAACGTCAAGATGGACAGCTCAAGGTCATCAATTGATTAAGCCAAGCCCAATCCGTGAGCCCATCAAAATACACATCATGCTGACAGGAGGATGACCTAATTGTTGCTTGGTCATGATGCGTTATGCATGAGCTATGGTTTCTGGTGGGATTAGTTGGTGAAGTGCAGTAGCCATACAAGAAAAGAATATGATTTTCAATTGCTAGTGTTGTATGCATTAGCCATATTCAATTCAGATTTCTCACTTCCCTCTCCCTATAAATACCACTTCCATTCCACATTCAAGGTGTGCAAATCCTGGGATTCACACTCCCACAACCCCAACACTCCAGTCATCCTCCACACTACCATCATTCTCTAAACACATCCAGAAATCATCCTCAAACACTCCCACAACCCTAAACACTCCAGAAATCAATCCAACACTCTAAACAACCCCAAATCACCAAAACATATCCAACAAGCCTTCCTTTCATTTTCCTACGAATTTCCTCTTGCACTGCCATCACAACTCACCCAAACTCATGCCAAATCATTTCCTTAGCTGTCATACATCCTTCTAGACGTGGGAAAGCTCTTGGAGAAGCTCTTGAAGAAGCCTTGGACAACACAAGAACTTCAGAAAAAGGGTTTTTCTACTCTTATTGCATTCATTATGTTTTCTCATTTTGTCTTAGTTTCTTTCCCATTATGAGCAGTGATAAGTCCTTATTTTACATATATTTTATGCCTCCTTTACTTATTTATTTGTTAATTTTCTTGGATTAAATTGTTGGGTTTAATGTATTTTGTGAGAATTTTGTAGTTGATCCCTAATTTACGGCAAGGATTAATTGGAGACAGAATATGTTTCTTAGAAGGCAATCAACCAGTCAAAGCTTAAAGGAGGAAGTTTGGTTAAATCCTTGTGGAATTTGGAGAAGCAATCAAAGAGATATTGGGTAAGATATTGGGAAACCTACTTTTGGTAGTATTTGATTGTAACTAGGTTAAGGATTTGTGTATTATAAATAGCATAGGGCTGGCCTCATAGAGGAGATCCATACTTTTCACTACCTGAAAATACCCAATTCTTGCAAAAGAGAAGTCCTGCTGTCGCCAGCCACCTTGGAGCTTTTTGGGAGTTTTCGAGTTCATCTTCATGTCTACCATCAACCACTCTATGATTCTCAATAAGTTTGTCATGTTCTAATTTCCTTTTTGCTAGGGCTACGATGTAGCCTAGCCATGAATACCTTATTTCTGTGTTTATGTTAATTTGATATTATTTTCCATGTTAAGTATCTTTTACCGTTCTTAATGCTTTGAGTGCTTGATCACCACTTAATTGATTTGATGCTTGAGTTGACGATAGGAATATCCAACTTAGGATTTTGCTTCTAGTAATTGATACCACAGGTTACTTGAGTGAACTGGAAGGTTAATCGAGGCTTGTGTGATTTCCATAAATTTCCATAGAACTTAACGGGTTTCTACTTCTTAGTTCTTCATCTAGACATAGAGTGGGACGGTTGTAGGAACACTTTTGGTATTGACAGGCATGTCATATTGAATAATTAAGGGAAATTTATCATTAACATGGATAATAATTAGGATTAACTGGCTACAGGAATATGGTAGAATTGGCAATGGTGTAGTTGGAACCCTAGTGCTCATACCATCATTGTTTGCCGAATTTTATTATTGTTTATGTTAGTTAATTCTTGTTAATTGCTTACGTAATTCAAATCAAAGTCTCACCATTCGAACATCCAGATAAAGTTTAGGATTAATCATAATCAGTACTCAGTTAATTAGTCTTAGTCTCTGCGGAACGATACTCACTTACCACTACACTATTTTGCTACGATTTCGTGCTCTACAATTTTGTTAACAAGCAGCTAAATCCATAGCTAGGGTTTCAATGTAACCTGACAAGACATTTTCAAGTTTCCAAGTTAATGTTACCCTTTGTTGATTACTTCTAATTTTCTGGTCTCATTTACTTGTTCTTAGTTGAATCTTTATGCATGTTTAAATAACTGGCCACTATTAACACATGCATGTTGGTTATCTAGTTCAAGTTTATATCACTCTTGAACTGATTAGTGAATGAGTGGGTAATGCATTTAGGACAAACACCATGTTTAAATGTTTACTTGGTTTCTTAGTGTTCTTCTTAAGCTTAATGGATTCAGATTCATAGCTTAGACTAAACACCATAGCTAAGTTGTGTTTCTGAGTACTTGATTAAAACCAAACACCATATGGATAATCATACATAAGAAAGAACAAACTCCAGAAATTGAATTAATCAACTTAGGTGCTTGTTAACTTGGAGCTAGAATTTGGATTGTCATGGTGAAGTTGAACCCCTAGTGCTTGTTTTCATTGTCTCTAAATTTTCTAAACATTTACTTGCTGTTCACTTACTATTTTTGCATTCCCTTTTAGTAGGTTTCAGTCACTTGCTATTTTGCATTCTTCTTAGTAGTTTTCACTCCAAACAAACACTACTACAATAAAGTTAATAGACAACGGTTTTTAGCCGTTGTTGAAAGTCTTCTAAAACCGTTGTGCTTAGGAGTGTCGTCTTTTCTACCTATTTATGACAACGGTAAAAAACTGTTGTAAAATGTCACTTTCAACAACGGTTTTTCTTAAAAACCGTTGTGGAATGGTCATTTCAATAACAGTTTTGCTCAATAACCGTTGTAGTATAGTTCTTACTACAACGGTTACTCTCAACAACCGTTGTAAAATGGTCATTTCGACAACGGTTTTTATCATAACCGTTGTAGTAAGTCACTTTCGACAACGGTTTTTCTCAATAACCGTTGTAATATATTTCTTTCCACAACGGTTTTTAGAATAACCATTGTAAATGTTCTTATTATACAATAGATGTTGGTTCTAACCGTTGTAATAAGTGGATTTCTACAACGGTTTGAATGGGTAACCGTTGTTAAGAAGGTGACCGTTGTAATAATGACATTCCTTCACTACTGAATATAGTTAGAACAATGATGTATTCATATTTCAATATGAAAAATATTTGAACCATATATACAATTCCAAAATTGGTTCAATTACAACAATTTGAGATCTATAGGCAATTTAAAGCTTGGAATCTAGTACATACATCCCAAAGCAACCAACCACAGAATCTAAAATTTTGTACATTCTATGTGAAAATTCTACCATTCACAAAATGACAATCAAAGTGATTGCCACGTAATCATGTTCAAAAGAAGCCAAACCAGTGGTTGATAACCTTGTCCACTATTCTGAGCAAAAAAACCTTGTCCACTTTGAGGTTTGAGCTACACATAACCTGCCCATTCACGCCGTACTTCATCAATTTGATTTTGTGTATATGTACAATCATTTGTTTTACTCCACTGTAACAAGATATCAAAAATAGGACTTAGCCAAGTCTCATAATAAAAAAACATTCTTAATCAAAGATTTAGTTTCCATTCAAATTAAATGTACTATTCTACCATGCTATATGGATATTTAGTACCTTAGATGCAAATTCCAAATTTTTATCTTCAACAATCTCCTCCATATAACGCATCACAAAATATCCACACTCCGTACTTGTTGGTTGTTTAGGAGTTCCCTACACATAATTATGGGCTTTGGGCTTCGGAACTCCATCCCATAGCTGTAGAATTTACAATATTAGAGAGATACGAAGAAAACAACTAAGGTTTAAAAACTACATAGCTCTGAAGACGAAATTACCTTCTGTATATCTTCCCTCAAAGCAGGCTCCAGATTTTCAAACAGGGTCTAAACAAACAGCCACAAACAAGAAAACGTTAATATGGAACAAGAATATTATTACATGAGAACAACATAATTGGACATATCTCATTAAAAAGCTCAAAAAATATGCCCCAGATGGTTGTGGCTATAAATTAGTGACTTCATATTCTCCCAAAAGACTGAACTTTTGCTGCCAAAGTAATGGTAATCTGCAAATTACCAGCAAAATAATATAGCATTTATGGCACCAAAATGAGTCAGTTTAGGGTGGGTCATAAACTAGATAGACTAAGAACTACCATTTATTTGCCACTTATATCTAATTCCCATAGCCATCTAATCCAATTTTAAGGTCAATTATGGAAATATCCAGCTCAAGATACTATAATTCACTCAATGGAGTAGACAGTGTTCCAAGAAATCTCGAAACAATACTCAACCACCCACCCTGGCAGACAAGAATGAGTCTTCCCACCACAACATTTAAAACAACAAAACAGCTGTACCAAAGGATAACATTGTTCCAACTTCAAATTACCAGCAAACTTCTTTGACTGCCCCAACCTCCCTCTTTAACACCTTTAATGTCTACTCAGCCCTCAAAATCATACAAGACTCAGAATGACAAAAATCAGTCCCAACCGCTGCAAATATACAGCTAACCAGGTGTAAAATTAAAAGCTTTTCTTTCTGAGGATTCAATGGGTCATTACAGGTCCCCACAACCCAGACCATTTAACAAGGAGTTAAAAGGGCAATTACCCATTTATACCCAAGATGCTAGGTAGGAGGTCTATTGCCATTTAATTAGGGCAGGGAAATGGGTAAGGGTTAACAACTGCCACACAATAGCACCTTCAGTATCCCATATCATTAACTATTTTCTTCATATTCTCTGATGGTTCTTAACGATGAAATTCAGTTGACCAACTTAAAAATAATGCAATTCCATTCGATTATGAGACAAACACATAATTTGGCAAGAGAACAATAATATAAAATTGATATGACCACCAAATCGGTGCAAGACTGCAGCTTTGCACAGATTTCCTGGTCTGGGTTAATAAAAAATAGCAAATTTCTAAAAATAAGCATAGATGGAAGCTCAAATCAGATTGTACACATTAGCCAAAATCTCCAAAGAGGAGGCAATCAACAAACTCCTACATCAATTCTTACCCAAAATCACAAAATAAAAACTTTAGCAGAATCAAAATGAAAAAGAAGAGGAAACGAATCGAGTTTGGAAATGGAAAATACCAGCACTGCATGAAGTAGGAGGATCTTTCTAGAGGTCCTTCAGCTGCTTTAGGTCCGTTTCGATGCCATCACCTTCACAAGCACACAAACAAACAAACCAAACCCTAGATGAACCTGACCTCAATCTAACAAACTCACACACACAACAAAGAAAACCCAAATTTCATTTCTTATGTGCAAGTATCAGAGAGATCTAAAATTAAAACCCAAATCAATAACCCTAAAATTAAAACCCAAATCAGTAACCCTAAAATTAAAACCCAAAGCCCTCTGAACTAGAAGGAGGGAGGGGAGAGAAAGAGAGGGGAGAGGGAGGAGAGAGAGAGAGAGAGAGAGAGTGAGAGAGCATGGAGAGAGGGAGACGCGAGAGACAAAGTCTCTCTGTCTATGGCTGTGGCGAAGGCAAGGCAACGAGAGACAGAAAAAATCTGGGCAAGAGAGGTAGACGCGAGAGACAAGAGGTAGAAAAGAGATAAGAGAGAATGAGAACTATCGGGGCTTAAGAAAAAATATTGTGTCACTGTTCACTCCGTGTTTTTTTTTTTTAAGCTTCAATTACAACGGTTGAAATGAAAACCGTTGTGGAAAGTTGTGAAATAAAATTAAAAAATCACATACCCTAAACCACAACGCTTAAAAACCCCTTTTAACAACGGTTATATAATAACTGTTGTGGAAGAAACAACGGTTATATAATAAATTTTGTTTAGTCTTAGGTTACTTGTGAGTCTAAGTAATAGTAAAATCTATAATTGGTTCGTGCACTTGCGAGAAATAGATAGAGTAAAATCTATCCAACAATAAACTTGACTAGAATCAATTTTCTAATGAGTGCATGACTTTTATATATATATATATATATTATATGTGTGTGTGTGTGTGTATTTCACTAAACTATCGACACTAGCACTAGTACTACTCTATTTAATACCAACAATATGTTCATAATTTTTCTTGGCATTCACGAGTTTAATAAAAAGCATAGGCAACGTTAATCTTACCAACACTAGAACAGATTGTTGCAAATTCTCTCTCTCTCTCTCTCTCTCTCTCTCTCTCTCTCTCTATATATATATATATATATATATATATATATATATATATATATATATATATATATATATATATATATATATATATATATATATATATATATATATATATATATATATATATATATATATATATATATATATATATATATATATATATATATATATATAATATATATTATTATTATTCTTTTGAAGGTATACTAGTGATTTGCCCCCTGAACTTGTACTTAATTTTCAATTAACCTCCTAACCTTCTTTTTTAGAAAATTAAGAATATGAACTTTTTTTTTCTCCAATGTCCCCCCTACCATCTAAATCCTTAACATTTCATCCAATTTTCAGTTAAATTATTTTAAGAAATTGAAAACAAAATGACCCAAAAAAAGAAAAGAAGAAGAAGACTGAACCAGAAAACCCTATCGTTCTCCTCCAACACATCAACCCCATGGCAACAGTGTTGGAAAAATGGCTCACCTAAGGATACAAGTGTGTTTTGGCCCTGAAAGGATGGTTTTGAATCTGTCTCTTGCGACCGGTCGTTTTGAAGCAGATTCGAAGTCTGGAGCAATATCGACGAGCGACCGGTCGCGTGACATTTGCGACCGGTCGTCCTGGAGCAGATTCAAAGTCTGGAGGGAAAACTTCTGGCGACCGGTCGCCCATTCCTGACGACCGGTCGCTCCCGTCGTGCTGTGACGTTTTCTTACGTGTTTTCAACTGTGTTTTCAAGGGCTATCGCTTTCCACAAGATTTCAGAGGCTTAGTGGGTCACTTCTGAGTTAAAAGAGGGTTGACTACCTGCTGGATAGTTGGGAGAGCACTCATGGCTAATTGGTTATCTTATTTTGAATAAATCTTCTCTCCATTTTCTGGTTTAATGGAGGTGGCTGAGTGGGATTCTATTTACCTACTTGATCTGACATTTAGTCTAAGTGGTGACTAAAGGAAGGAACGTGGAGGACAAACTGATATCTTATCTCTTGTCCATTGGCTTGTGTAGGTAATGGGGTGAAGTAAGATAACACAAGAGGAGAAAACAAGTTGTGTAATATGTTGTGGCAAAAGCTGGAAACTTGTGAGAGTTTTGTTCAGAAAAGCGAAGGGGAGAGCAAGAGAGTTCTCTAAGTGTATCAAGGTGTTGAGCAAGGGTGTGAGAGAAACAGATTGTGAGGGTAGTGTTCTAAGGGGGTTTCCTTTGTAAACCAAAGTTGTAACCTATCTTCATTAGTGAAATTTCTCAAGGTGATCACCAAAGAGGATGTAGGCAATTTGCTGAACCTCTATAAACACTTGTGTCATTTGTGCTTGGTTAATTTCTGTGTGTGTGTGTAAGACTCATCCATCATTGAGTTCTTTGTCCAAAGTCCATCAACAACAAGATCTTAAAAGGGCAGTGAGTTAGTCATTTAATTCACAACAAACAGCCCAATCGTAGAAGAAGCAATACCTGAGGGGGCAAAACCTAATGGTGACGGTGACATTTTCCTTAGACTTGGAGACATCAGGCGAGGACAGCGTGTTCAGGTTGGCGGAGGAAGAGAGTGAAGATAGAGAGGGCTTGGACGGGGTGGGCCGAGACGACGTCGTGGAAGAAGAAGGGGTGGTTGACTGAGATGAAGCCGTAGGGGGCTTTGTGGACCCCACAGGCTTCCTGGAGCCGAAAGGCGAGATGGAGGATCTTTGTGACCTTGAGCTTGAGGTGCCACCGGAGAACATTCCTGGGTGTAGAGAGAGAAAAGCTGGGTTTAGAGAGAGAGAGAGAAGAAAATACCCCATCAGTGGCCAGAATAATGAACTCATCTCTTTCTATAAGTTGGCGATAGTAAACATCAGGGACATAAATCACACCAAAATCCTTTAGATAGAAATCCCCAAAGGCTCTAGCTATTGCCAAACTAGGAGAATCATTGTTAGGCAACCATACACGAGCAACTTCTGGTTCATTTTACAAAGCAAATACCCTTCCCTTGCATTGATGGATCCTAGCAAATTCCGCTAATTACAGAAGATTCAATAAATTTTGTTCAATGGACCTTTATTTAAGACTTCTGTGTGACTCTGCTCTGTGTGTGAGATATATATATATATATATATATATATACACACACTAGGAAGATCAGGCTTCAAGTGCCAGCATAGCTCTCGAATCCCCAACATTTCCAAGTACAAGATTCTGACCCTGAAAAACCATACATCTACAAGTTAGTTTTTTCAAAACTCCCAAGAAATTTCATCATCTTCGGCAGAGAGAGAGCGAGAGAGAGAGAGAGAGAATTTTTGTTTTTATTTTCAGTTTTCATTTATTATTTATTTTTAATGTAGAAAATGACCATTTTGCCCTCATTTTTAACGGCAAATTGGATGAAATGTTGTGGATTTAGACGGAGGGGGGAAATTGGCCAAAAAAAAAATTCATATCCTTAATTTTCTATATAAAGAAAAAAGGATATGGGGTTAATTGAAAGCTAGGTACAAGTTCAGGGGGCAAATCACTAGTATACCCTTCTTTTCAATTGTTATTCTTGTTTATAGTTCTCATGTAGAGTGAAAAAGTGGAAAACAACAAACAAAAAGTGAAACATGGACAAAGAAATAATTCCACAAGTTACTTTATTTGCTAAAGATTCCCACAATGCCGAATCACTATATCACATACAAAGAAAACATTTGATTAAAAAAACGTCAAAAAGGAAAAATTCATAACCCAATTTCCACAAAAAATTAATAAAAGATTAAATATATAAAGGAGAGAGAAGAAGCAAGAACAAGCATATTGGAGAGAGTATGAAAAAGAGAGAGTGTGAGATGGATACCTGAATAAGAGTGAAGAGAATAACCTATGGAGAAGATAGTAGAGAAGAACCCTAGGGAGAGAGATGAAAAGAGCGTATGATTTTTCTCGTAGAACGCGTGTTCTTTTTCCCTAACCATATAATTAAGCATGTATTATCTAAATCGGGGTGTGTGAGTTGTATTAGTTAGTTAGGCAAGGAGATTATTAAAAGCCCAACCCGTTTTAAATTAGTAAGGTAATTAAATAAAACAAGTTGACATCAAACAACTTACATGGACTATTTACTCCTATCCAAAGTTTAATATGGTGTACCAAATGAGCCCTCATAGCTTCTAGGGATTTTAATCCCTACACCTAATTTTCCTTCAAATTCTTGGTAAAATGTGTTGTGAATTAATACTAACTCACTTCCCCTTAGGACTTTGTTGTTGATGAACTTTGTGACAAACTCAATGATGGATGAGTCTTACACACACACAGAAATTTAACCAAATAGAAATGACACAAGTGTTTATAGAGGTTCAGCAAAGTGCCTACTTCCTCTTTGGTGATCTCCTTGAGAACTTTCACTAATGAAGATAGGTTACAACTTTGGTTTACAAAGAAGGAAACCCCCTTAGAACTCTACCCTCACAATCTGTTTCTCTCTCACCCTTGCTCAACAACTTGATACACTTAGAGAACTCTCTTGCTCTCCCCTTGGTATTTTCTGAACTTACAAGTTTCCAGCTTCTCTACAACTCTCTATACTTTGCACAAAATTATGCTCTTAACAACTTAATGTTCTCTTGCTTCCTCTTCCCTCTTATATAGGCCTTTGGACTCCAAGATAAGGTATCATTAAGTTCTGCACGTTCTTGCTTTAGTTATACAACTTTAGACACCTGTTCTTGGCAGCTCACAAAGCAAGGGAACAATGGATGATAGCTGCCATATATCTCTTGAACCAAGAGAGTATTCACTCATTGAAGCAAGTCATCAATTTGCCAAAGTGTTCTCCCCATCTTTCCAGCTGCTTGCCACCTTCTAATATCTCAGAATTGATCAGAAATATCCTTGCAAGTCGATAGAAAGTGATAGCACACAAAGGAAGACTTGAAAACGCGTAGAAACTGAAGCAACAACGTCGGGGCGACCGGTCGCCAGGACTAGGCGACCGGTCACTTTTCCACAGAGTCTCCAGACTTCGATTTTCTTCTCTGAACCGACCGGTCGCTCATAACATGCGACCGGTCGCTTTGGCATAGAGTTGAAATTCAATTCAGACTTTGCAACCTGCCGGAAACCGACCGGTCGCCCATA